TGTGAGTTGACCATCTATGCCCAGCCAAAACGAAAGTTCGGGGCACTGGGTGTAGTTTGCTACTTCCCTGCCTGTAATCCTCCCCTTGTCTCCTCCCTCCAATTAACTATGTTTTATCTGTACACCCAGAGGCAATAGGAGTTTTTTGACAGAGAAGACAGAGTGACGTTGAGATTTGGCAGAGATCTGCACAAGGATTGACAGAGGAGACATTTCAAGTTAGGAGATGGTCCAAACTTATGCCCAGGGGACACAAGGCAATATTTGTAGGCATTACAAGGTTGCCACCTAGACTCAAGTCAGCAATTTCAGGATTCAAAATTAAAAAGCAGAGAACTGGAATGAGGGGAGAGGAAGATGGCCGGGCAATCAGCATGAGCAGTACTCCAGTATGTAGGCAGAAAACTGGCAGGGGAGTGATTTGCCCAGGGGTAGCAGAATCCCAGCCTCTGGCCAGAGGTTCAGCAATAGGGCTCCAGCCTCTGAATGGATCCCAGAAAGACTGGAAGATGTGAAGCACTAGCAGGAAGAATGGGAGATTATCAGCATCTTTCAGAAACATCACAAGCTAATCACATGCTAATAAGCATTACAGCCAAGATCTAGGCAGGACTTTACCTGTGAAAACTAGGTCAGGAGTTAAGAGGAGAAAGCAGCGGCTGCAGAGAAGAAAGAGGACCCAGGAATAACTAGGAATTCAATTGTCAGAAGTAGGGTCTATGCTTGGGCTAGAAAGGCCTCAAGGGTAAGGTATCAGAATAAAATACATCATAGAACTCAGTTACAATAAGACACTGGCCCATACACCTAGTTACTTTCTGATACAATGTTACCAAAGGCAATACTTCCTGAGCAGTACTCTGTGGCTCCTGGAAAATGTTCTCGTTAAGAGCTTTCATGAACAAAGGAAAGAATCTGAGACACTTGCGGTAGACACCTCAGAGGGTATCCTGGGGAGTCAATCTTTAAGTTGATCTCAGGTTTATTTCAGAGGTTCCCAAGGAGCTCTGCTGGAATCTGCAGGAACCCTCCCCCAAGGAGATCCACCTCCACAACGAATTATAATGAAGCAACAGATAACCCAATGACTCGAAATTCTCCACACGTGGCATAGCTCAAAATTGCTTAAAAATCATCAAAGAGAAAAAGGTAAGTGATAATCCATTGTATTATCTCACAGTCTAAATGCCCTGGTCAGTTCGTTACCTCAGGTAGTTCTCAGCCTCCGTTTTACCCACCTACGTTTACAAAATCGTATCCTCTCCTTGCCACTTTCAAAAACTATTACATACACAATCATGTTTCATCCATGTTCCCTGAAAAATGCACAGGCTATTTAGAATGTCCGAGAGACCTTGTGGAAAACAGAGTGGATATCGGGTCTTGAAGTGTAATTATAAATTAAAACGTCCCCTTTTCTTCGGAAGGAGGCTGGGGGAGTTAAGTCAATATCTAACATCCCCAGCCTCCTTCCTTTCGGGCTGGAATATAATGCCTCCCGGACGTGACAAGGCACCACCATGCACAGGACTATAAATAAAGGTACATTGCCACTGAGCTTCATGATGATAGTGCAGCCGCTCTCGGAGTTGAGATATAAGAAAAATTCCTTTGGGGAAGTCACCGGGGAGCAACTCACACCATGGGTCTCTCACAGCAAGTCTCCCAGTGAATAAAATAAGCAAACCGCGCTGCAGTAATGCCCAAGGTTATCCATTATTGTATCTTTACACCTATTAGATCCGTAGCCATCTCACTAACCAAGAGGAGCTATGCTGTCCTAGAACGGAGCCAGACTCCTCATTAGAACGAGCACGGTGCTCCATCTCCCTCTAAGATTCCGGAGCCACACTTTGTCTTCTACACCCTAAAGTGATAGGTTTCCGAGGTTTTCTCGAATGTCTTATATAAATCCATCACAGAGTAAGGAAATCTAAAAATTAATTTTCAGCTCCTCTTTTTACATGTATATGAAGATTATTTGGAAGTAAAGAGATTGTATTCATTTATTCATCATTAAGAGAGAATGGATGGATTTTATTTGTGTGGAGTTACAGTTCTCGGTTTGCAAAGTCCCATGTCCCTTAAGCCAGTCCTGGAAAATGTGCTGCTGGAGATTCGGTAGAACTACATGCTGCGCCAGTGTCCAGAGTTTCCGTTGCATGGTGGAGTTTGAATCCTATGTAGCATTAGGCTAATCACTGTCCATTGTCCACTGTGTGGGTGCCCCATGGCCAGGGGCCACGTGGGCGAATGCAGGGGAGTGCGCCCCCTGCAACAGGAGTCCCGAGAGGGTGAGATGGCCAAGAGCACAAGAGAGGGGGCTTTCTTTGACCACGACCTAAGTATCTCAGATTTCGAGCCCTTGTGGCAGTCACGCCTGTTCAGGCCACTGACTCCCTCCCAAGTGTGACTGACAGGTCAGCATCTTCCCACGTCACCCAGACCTTACGGGGCATGTGTCTACTGTCCAGTCCCTTCCCGGGGAATAGACCTGGGAGCGCTGACTGCAGCTTCCTGGCAGAGCTGTACAAATGGCATGCCTATGTTATCTAGTCCCTCCTTTGCTCCTTTCCTGTTCAATAATAACCAGATTACTGTAACGGTATCAGAAGAACCTTAAAAAACTCCAACACTTCAATTGAGAAGACAAATCTGTAGGTTAGTGTTTTGCAACTGTGGGTCACCACTTGTTTTTAAGTCAGGAAATCATTTAGTGACAATTATTTTTAATGGAAGAGAAAACAAAATGAAAACATAATTATTAGAGTACATCTAAACTTATTTTTCTAAATTAATTATTTTATCATTGCTGCGACTTACACTAAGCTGCTTTTACACTGAACTGAATTTGGTAAAAAGCATTAAAATGTAGATGAAATTATCCTCTGTGTACTGTGTATATATTTGTAGGATGAATGAATTTAGTTATCACATAGTGGATTCCCTTGTTCTTTCTTTCCTTTCCTTTTCCATAAACACAGTTTAAATGAGTACAGGATACAGCTATTTAAAATGTATGTGTATCTATTTACTTACTAAAATTTCTCAAACTTGAGCAATGATATCAATGAGATCTTAGTTTTCTCTATATGTATAGAAAAAAAGGGAGATATTTGAAACACTAAGGTATTTCCATTGTGATATATAAGAGGGAGACTATGGAAATATTTAGATTTCATAGCAGTTTCTCTTAATTTGCACGGATTCCAGGCTAAATTGACACAAATTTCTAAAGTCCAATGTTATTGTACTTAAGCAGATCTATTAAGGTATATTAGTTGTTAAATGTTGGATTTCTTTATTCTTTATTTTTAATAAACACAGTTTAAATTAGAGGAGAGTATCTTGGACTCCCAAATTAGACTAAATTCAATTAGTAACTGTTTCCTGGTCATTATGTTTAAGATTCTCTTCTTTCCATTATAATGGTTCCAGGAAGCTGGGTTTGCAAGAGCTCTGCAGGAGGGAGGCCTTGCTACACATTTTTATGCGTTTAGTCACTAGAAAAGAATCATTAATCATGGCAGAATTTAGTGCGTTTTCTGACCATGGTAAATATTTATATGTGTATTTGTTTTATGTGCTGTTCTGATCTCTCCAGATATTTTCTATTTGCTAAATCTCCCCAACTGAATGTGTCCTGGGGAACAGTGATAAAATATGGTTGATCAATCATTTTGGCTCTGAACATTCAGGGGGTAAAAGCAAAACTAAGAAAGCAAAAAACGGCAAAAGGAAATATCTAGGTAGCAGTTCACACCAGCTTCTGATTTCAGAAACACCTCCCTTGAATTCAGTAACAGTCCATTGAGCCCTGCCATACAGAAACACAAAGCCTATTGACAAAGAAGACTTATGTCCTTCAGCAAGAGATATCCTGTCAGTGAGCACTAGTCCAAGGGCCACTGTGCTGAACTTGACAAACGTTCCCGGGGCACCTCTTCTGTCACAGGCACTGTCCCATATGCCAGAGACAAACCAGGTGTGGCCACTGCCCTCGAAGAGCTGACCACAAACAGGGGAGGGGAGATGAACACAAATAACACACCGTGTTAGGAGCAATGCCAGGGGTCCACATCTGGCATCACCAGTGGCCTCGGAGCCAGCAGTCATGTGGCTGAGCCCTCAGCCATGAACTTCCTCTCTGTGTTTTGCCCATCTGCACAAGGCTCAGAAATAGGATTTTTCTCCCTGTCTTCTAAGGAGTCCTTTACAAAATAAATACAATTGCTAGAAACATCTAGAGAAACTGTGCAAACATTTTACTGCTTATCAGTCCAACATCATGCCAGATTTTTCTTTGTTTGGAACATCTCACACTGTAATTTCAACTTTCTGTGTATCACATTATTCAAAGAATATTCCAACGTTGCTAAGTCTGTTCAGATAACAACAGTGTTGCCTAAGCCTCCATTTATCATACCGATATGATGTCAGGTTTAAAAACTGCCCTACTCAGTTGATACATCTTTTACTCACCCTTGTTTGCTTTTCCCCCCTGACAATTTGCACAAATTTAGCAAAACCACTTTGACATTTCAATTCAGGCAGTTGAATAGACCTCTGAAGTCATAATTAAATTTTTATAATTCTATTACTAATAGTAAAAGATATTTGAATGCCCGTGAAGTAAAAAAATACCAGATACTACTATGTTAGTAAAATAAACATTCCTGTGTTTAAGCATAGACTATTCACTTAAAGGAATATCAATTTCCCTATCAAATAGGAACCAGCATTGATAAGAAATAGAAGATTCTGGTGGCCTAAGACTGTCCCAATCAATTCTTCTTGCCCACCCCTCACCTTCTCAGTAAGGTTCCAAGTTTCTCTTATTCAATCAGCACTCAGAGCAACCGAGAAAGAATCTCAAAAGTCTGGATCCAAACGTAACTAGCAGCAAGTAACACCAACAAAACACAACAAAACAAACACAACTTTATCTGTGGAACGGCCTTAGCCCTTTCAGGAGGCAATGTCAGGGAAGTGTCACTCACCTGAGGAAACATCTATTTGGCTCATCTTGGTCTGTGTGATACTGATGTGGACACCAACTCTGCTTTCAACGAGGTCAATCTCCACAGTGCCCAGGTTATCTGCGAAGTGGCTGAAGAGCAGGAGGCCGTTGGGGTTCCAAGTCCTGAACTGGAAACTGACTGCAAACAGGTCCTGGTGGGGCCGTCCGGGCACCTCCAGGTAACTGGTGGCGTTGAAAAAGACGGGCACCGTGTAGGGCTCCACGCAGGAGAAACTCAGGTTTCCCTGTAAAACAGAAGGCTGTGCTTGAGGGAAAGGCAGAATAATATAAGCATCCATGGAAGACAGCAGACAAAGCTGCAGCTCTACATACTCCAAAGCAGGGCTGTGGCCTGTCCCAACCTCACAGGCGGCAGCACGACGCGAACTCAGCAACTGGTACCTTGGCATGAGTCTCCGTGGAGTGTGTATCTAACAGGGTGAGAAGTCGGCCATCAAGTTGAGGGATGTGACAAGGACAACCCATCACGGGCCTGACAGGCAGGAGGCTGCGACAAGCTGACCAGGGCGTGGGCTGTGCATCTCTGCGAGCTTCGGTGCGGACCGCTGGGCTTTCTGAGGATGGCGAGGTGCCGCTGCCCCCCGCCTTGCTACAGGTGCCTCGGCCTGCTCCTGGGTGTCCCATTCAGGCCTTTATTAATATATTACTCTGGTCGCAGTGGGAGCCATGGTCATTTGGTGGCTGTTTATTACACTAATATGATGGGGCAAAAAATCTTGGGTTTTATATCCATACCTATGTATAAATATTAGCATAATTTTGATTATTTCAGATTATTTTGTAAGTCAACTTCAAATATCATTTAAATTCCATGAACTGTGCTTAAATCATAATGAATTAATGCTTATGAAAACAGTGACATGAATGTACAAAATTAACACAAACAAAGCTTAGGAAACTACCCCTTCTCTCTCATATCCCCCCCC